TGTTTCTCGCAGCTCCCATACATCATGCCCTCAACAAACTTCTCATCCCTGCTGTCAAACAACACACCCTTGGAAGGCTTCCACAGCAGCCATCCCTTGCTCTCAGCAGCCAGCCCCAAATGCACACACCAGATTGCACTCGCCCCCAACTTACTGCGGTAGGTCTTGGGGACGTGGGCGACTGCCATGCAACCGAACACCCTCAGCATGTCCACCGGCGGCTTCCTCCCAAGCCACCTCTCCAACGGCACCCACGAGTCATCCCCAAGCTTTGTGAGTACCCTGTTCCTAGCGACGGTAGCGTGCCAAACAGCATGGGGCCACATCAAGTTGCCCAGCCCAGATTCTATGAGCAGCGCCCTAGCTGTCTCCAGAATTGTCCGGTTCGCCCGTTCTGCTACACCGTTAGACTGTGGGGTGTAAGCCGTGGTCAGCTCCCTCTGGATGCCCTGCTTCTTGAGCCAGGCCGTCATCTCAGCTCCAAGGAACTCACCACCCCGATCTGTCCTGATCCGCTTCACCACAGACCCTGCTTGCTTCTCCACGAACGGCAGCCAATCGTCCCGAATCGTGGAGGCGGCGTGATCTTTCTGCTTCAGCGGATACGCCCACATTAGTCTGCTCCTGTCATCCACGATGGTTAGGAAGTACCGCTCCCCCTTGTGCCCTTGCACCGGCAGCGGCCCCACCAAGTCCATGTGGACCAGCTCCAACGGCTTTTTGCTCCTGCCAGCCACACTATGGAAGGGGAAACGGGTGAACTTTGAAAGGAGGCAAATTTCACAGTTATCATCGGGTGGTTGTCCGTTCAGCTTCAAGCCCTTAACGGCTCCATCCTTCTCCAGCTGCTTCAGCAAAGGCATTGCCACATGCCCCAAACGTCGGTGTGCAGTTGCCCAATCTTTCTCCCCAGATCTGGCCGACACTTTCATACCAACCCCTCCAACGGCGTTGCACTCCCCCTGGGATGCAGACCCCTCTCCAGCCTGCCCCCCACCGTGCCACGCCAGCGCCGGCAGCTGCCACATAGATCTGTACACGTCCTTGCTCTCGTGCAGATCCCAAAGCACCCGATTGCCCAGCTTCCCCTTATAAGTGCGTGCCCCATCCGTGCTAGTGCTCACCCCAGACTTGCCAAGCTTACGGAGGGAGATTAGGTTGGCCTTAAGTTCAGGAACAAGAAGAACGTCGTGCAGCACCACCGGCTTGCCATCCGCTCCCTTAAACGCAGCTCGTCCCGCACCAGCCACCTTCAGCGCGTGTCCAGAGGCAGAGCACACCTCATTAATCGGTGCAGCGCGTACGTCGTCCAGCAGGTCCTTGCGCGGCGTCATTGTCCAAGCAGCGCCTGTGTCCAACACCCAATAGTCCAAGGGGTGCAGCTCTGCTCCAGCCTTAGCAGATGCGTCTTCTTGCTCCCTCTTGTCTCCCATATGAAAGAATTGGCCCGCGGTGCGCTCCTTCTTCTCCGCACCGCCGTTGCCTTTCGGGTTGTTGTCGGACGAATCAGCGACCATGTTGGCGCCGTTTTTCTGGTTCCTCCGCGCGCCGCCATCCTGGTGACGATTCTGGGGGGTCCATCCATCGGGTTTCTTATAGCACAAAAACCAGGGGTGCCCTTCTTTCTCACAATACCAGCAACTCTCTTTCATTTTGCCACCAGCACCCGACTTGCCCCCACGTCCAGATTTCGCACCGCGACCCCAACCGGTACCTCCTTGTTGGTCGTTGGAGTCGTCGTCTTTCTTTGCACCGCGTCCAGCACCACCGAAGCCACGTCCTTTGCCACGTCGGCTCCCTTGCATCCCGTAGCCGCTGCTGACGTCGTCTCCACCCCTCAGTTGGCGGCGACGGAAGTTCTCCTCCAGAATCTTCGTCCGCACACACTCGAGCGTCCACAACCTCTGGTTCTGCGGCAGGCTCAATCCGCTCGTGAATTGAAGCCACGATTCCGGCAGCAGCGAGAGCATCTTCAGGCACTTTGTTTGCTCCGGGTAGGTGATTCCTGCGGTCGCCAACTTCGCATAGAGGTCGCGCAATTTGTCCAGGACAGGTTGCACCGGCTCTCCCTCGCTCAGGCGCAACGCGGACAGCTCCCTCTCCAGCATCAATGTTGCAACAACGGAGGTCGGGGCGTGCAGCTCCTTCAACACGGTCCACGCCTTCGGACCGCACTCAACCTCCGGCAGCAGGTGCATGACGAAGTGACGCTGGTTCAGCTCCAAACTCTGCGACATCAAGTAGTAGCCAGCCGAGGCGCGCTCGTCCCAATCTTCCTGAAGGGCGGGGTCACTCGGTCTAGGCTCCTCCCCAATCATTAGTTTCAGCAAACCGATCTGACGGAAATAAAGTTACATTTTCCAGGCCCAATCATCATAACCCTCACCATTGAACTTCTCGACGGTGAAGTTTTTCAGCACCTCCTTGATCAGCGAGCCCTGGCTTGTTCGCGCTCCCCTTGGCGCAGAAACACCAGACTCATGGCTGCCGCTACGATCTTGGGCTGAAGATTCACCAGCTACCGCCGAGGTGTTGCCCGCCATAGCTACCTATATCGAGGATCACTATAACGCAGCTCTGATACCAGCTTGTTGGTGTAAGGGCCTAATAAACTCAAGCTATTAAGACTTTATTACACTTAAAACCTCTCCTCCGGGTCACCTCCAAGGGTCCTTGGGTGCCTGGTACAAGACCAGCCCCTATCCTCGGGTCCGAGTTTGTAGAGAGAGGGATCAAGAGGGACTTAGTCAAAACAGCAAGAGTGCCTTGAACGTCGCGCAGCGTATCGTGCAGACCGTCGATCGGATTAAGCTGAGAATTTCCTATATCGAAGCTCACTCTAAGATCTTTAAAATAAGCCAAGTTGCCTCGCGAAAAGTTTTGCCATTACGAAGTTATGGCTCGGACAGCGTTAGCCTAGCGTTGGAGTGCTAGCGTACTAGCGTTGACTCGGGTAGCATTCCGCCGTCGCACCGTGTAGAAAGGAAATTCCAGCAAGGAAGGAATTCGCTTGAATCAATTTCACTATATTCAGGTACAAACAGAGAAGGAATAAATAGCTCTAGCTAGCAAGGACCTTGGGAATCAACCTGGGAACAACCAGGGATGATTCCAAATAATTCCAAGCAACAGAACCAACCTGGCTGGACAAAATAACAGGTGGTAGGTTGGTGAACAACCTCTGGTTCTGTTTTTCCAACCTGGGAAAACAACAACCAGGTTCAGGTCATAAAAACAGAACCTGTTTTGTCTTTGCCCAACCAGCCAAATGCTGGTTCCGCTGGTTTCCCCTGGCCCTGTAGCATGCAGATACAGACAAACAACATCCAACCTTCACCTAAATTGTACCCCTATAGTGCCTGCCCTGCTACACTATAGTCAACCAAACAAAACAGTACAATTTCGAGTCGGATAGAACTGAATCTGCGCAATCAAGTAAGCGGAACCGCAAAGCTTCCATCTTGGGTTCCTTTGCGAGCACGTCCTTTCTGCTTGTACTGTTCATAGCGCGTACAATGTAATGGCGAAGCGCACATTGTGCGAGTACCTACAAATGCTTCAAGCGAAAATTGCAAAAGCAAACAAACACACGAACATACCATTCATTCGCAAATGCATTCGCACATACATACTCGTACAAACAGACGGCAGGATGTCGTGCAATGTGAATTTTGCACCCAACACACTCCCCATTAGCCTGCTGGCTGCATCCCCATCATTCCATACTAGTTCATGCTCATTCCACTCATGCGCACACAACGCCAATGAGGCTCATCCGCAAGCCTCTTGGTGAGGAAGTCTGCTGGCTGCTGGTGAGTCTTGATGTAGATCGGATTCACCGTCCCCCTCTTCACCTCTTTACGCAGCCAGTGCCACTTGATACGCATGTGCTTATTGAGCCCATGAAGCACAGCGTTCCTGGCCATCCCAAGAGCTCCCTTGCTATCACAAAACAGCGGCGTAGCAACCTTTTGCTTCTGGCCAATCTCCTCTAACAGCCTCCTCAGCCAAATCACCTCCTTCATCCCATGAAACATTGCCATGTACTCTGACTCCACGGAAGAGAGTGCTGTCTCCGTCTGCTTCTTTGACCTCCAACTAACAGGTCGTCCTCCAACTACGCAGATGTATCCTCCCACAGATGAGGAATCCTCCTTCTCAGAGGCCCACGTAGCATCGGTAAAGCAAGTGAGAAAAAGCTTGCCTTCTCCAAGCCTCTCCCCCTTCTCTTCCAGCACCTCAACCTCTTTCTGCTTCACCTGTGCAGATGCGGAGTATTGAACTCCAATGCTTGGGTGAGAGTTCAGATACTTCACCACACGCTCAGCTGCATCCACCTGCTCCTCTGATGGATTCTGCAATACCCTGGCCAGCTGCCCAACCGAGAAAGAGATGTCGGGCCTCGTGTGAACTGCTGCATACAAGAGGCTGCCCACCAAGGACTGAAATTGCTGCTGCTCCTCGGCTTCAACCCCTACATCCTCTGCAGCTTTCACAAGCTTGAATTCTGCTGGCAGGGGAGTTGCAACCTTGCGCTCATTCTCAATTCCGTACTTCTCCCCAAGCTCCTTGATGAACTTCTCCTGGTGCAGCTTCAACCACCTGTGATCCAGATCCCTCTCCACGTGCATCCCGAGGTAGTACTTTACCTCCCCAAGGTTCTTGCACTTGAAGTTCTCCATCAGCTGCTGCTGCACCTTCTGGATCTCCTTCATGGTGCTGCTAAAGAGAAGAATGTCGTCCACATAGACCAGAAACAGCACCAGCTTCTCCCCCTATCCCTTGAGAAAGAGGCTCTCATCACAGCTGCTGGTCCTGAATCCCATCTCCTCTAAAACAGCTGCCAACTTCTGGTACCAGCAGCATGGCGCCTGCTTCAAGCCGTAGATGGACTTTTTCAGCTTGCACACCCTGCCCGTACCATCCTCATACCCAGGTGGCTGCGTCATGAACACCTCCTCCTCTAGAATCCCGTTAAGGAATACCGTTGATATGTCCATCTAGATAATGAACTTCCCACTAACGGCTGCATCTGCCAACAAGACACGAAGGGTAGGGGGTTTGGCAGTGGGAGCAAAGATCTCATTGAAGTCCCGCTTCTCCTTCTGCATAAACCCCTTAGCCACCAACCTACTCTTGTAGATGGTGACCTGCCCCTTGTCGTCAGTCTTGATCCTTAGCACCCACTTGCATTGTACCGCTTTTTTTCCCTCAGGCAGCACCACTAGTTCCCAAGTCCCATTCTCCAGCAGGCTCTGGTACTCAGCATCCCTAGAAGCTAGCCATTTGTCCCTATGTGGTCCAGCTAATGCCTCCTCCATGCTAGCTGGTTCCTCTGGTGCAGGGGCAAGAAAACAGTACGCAGGCTCATCCTCCTCATCTGGGTCATAGCCATGCGGTAGAATCAGCAATGCCTCCTCAGTCCCAAGCTGCTGCTCCGCTACATCAGCTCCTGCAGTCAGCTTCTTAGTAGCCATACGGGTACGTCCTGGCCTGGAAACGGGTGACTCCCATCCCTTCATAACGACACCCTTCGGCTTCTTAGTTTTCCCCTGCTGCTGCTCTTTCCCCTCAGATCCAGCAGCTCCACTAGTGTCAGTCTCCACATCATTTTCTCCACCAGCAGGTGCCTCCTGTACCTTCTTTCCATCACCACCCTCTGCAGCTGCCTCCTCTCCCTCCTCCCACACACTAGGAGTCAGGTCCAGCTGCATGGTGATTTGCTCCATTTGCTGGGACACCCTGGCCTCAGGCTGTTTCTCCCAGCTCCCATACATCATGCCCTCAACAAACTTCACATCCCTGCTGTCAAACAACACACCCTTGGAAGGCTCCCACAGCAGCCATCCCTTGCTCTCAGCAGCCAGCCCCAAATGCACACACCAGATTGCACTCGCCCCCAACTTACTGCGGTAGGTCTTGGGAACATGGGCGACTGCCATGCAACCGAACACCCTCAGCATGTCCACCGGCGGCTTCCTCCCAAGCCACCTCTCCAACGGCACCCACGAGTCATCCCCAACCTTTGTGAGTACCCTGTTTCTAGCGACGGTAGCGTGCCGAACAGCATGGGGCCATATCAAGTTGCCCAGCCCAGATTCTATGAGCAGCGCCCTAGCTGTCTCCAGAATTGTCCGGTTCGCCCGTTCTGCTACACCGTTGGACTGTGGGGTGTAAGCCGTGGTCAGCTCCCTCTGGATGCCCTGCTTCTTGAGCCAGGCCGTTATCTCAGCTCCAAGGAACTCACCACCCCGATCTGTCCTAATCCGCTTCACCACACACTCCGCTTGCTTCTCCACGAACGGCAGCCAATCGTCCCGAATCGTGGAGGCGGCGTGATCTTTCTGCTTCAGCGGATACACCCACATTAGCCTGCTCCAGTCATCCACTATGGTTAGGAAGTACCGCTCCCCCTTGTGCCCTTGCACCGGCAGCGGCCCCACCAAGTCCATGTGACCAGCTCCAAAGGCTTCTTGCTCCTGCCAGCCACATTATCGAAGGGGAAACGGGTGAACTTTGAAAGGAGGCAAATTTCACAGTTATCATCGGGTGGTTGTCCGTTCAGCTTCAAGCCCTTAACGGCTCCATCCTTCTCCAGCTGCTTCAGCAAAGGCATTGCCACATGCCCCAAGCGTCGGTGTGCAGTTGCCCAATCCGTCTCCCAAGACCTGGCCGACACTTTGACACCAACCCCTCTAACGGCGTTGCACTCCCCCTGGGATGCAGACCCCTCTCCAACCTGCCCCCCACCATGCCACGCCAACGCCGGCAGCTGCCACATAGATCTATACACGTCCTTGCTCTCGTGCAGATCCCAAAGCACCCGATTGCCCAGCTTCCCCTTGTAAGTGCGTGCCCCATCCGTGCTAGTGCTCACCCAAGACTTGCCAAGCTTACGGAGGGAGATGAGGTTGGCCTTAAGTTCAGGAACAAGAAGAACGTCGTGCAACACCACCGGCTTGCCATCCGCTCCCTTAAACGCAGCTCGTCCCGCACCAGCCACCTTCAGCGCGTGTCCAGAGGCGGAGCACACCTCGTTGATCGGAGCAGCTCGTACGTCGTCCAGCAGGTCCTTGCGCGGCGTCATTGTCCAAGCAGCGCCTGTGTCCAACACCCAATAATCCAGGGGGTGCAGCTCTGCTCCAGCCTTAGCAGATGCGTCTCCTTGCTCCCCCTTGTCTCCCATATGGAAGAATTGGCCCGCGGTGCGCTCCTTCTTCTTTTCCGCACCGCCGTTGGCCTTCCGGTTGTTGTCGGACGAATCAGCGACCATGTTGGCGCCGTTTTTCTGGTTCCTCCGCGCGCCGCCATCCTGGTGACGATTCTGGGGGGTCCATCCATCGGGTTTCTTATAGCACAAAAACCAGGGGTGCCCTTCCTTCTCACAATATCAGCAACTCCCTTTCATTTTGCCACCAGCACCCGACTTGCCCCCACGTCCAGATTTCGCACCGCGACCCCAACCGGTACCTCCTTGTTGGTCGTTGGAGTCGTCGTCCTTCTTTGCACCGCGTCCAGCACCACCGAAGCCACGTCCTTTGCCACGTCGGCTCCCTTGCATCCCGTAGCCGCTGCTGCCGTCGTCTCCACCCCTCAGTTGGCGGCGACGGAAGTCCTCCTCCAGAATCTTCGTCCGCACCCACTCGAGCGTCCACAAGCTCTGGTTCTGCGGCAGGCTCAATCCGCTCGTGAATTGAAGCCACGATTCCGGCAGCAGGGAGAGCATCTTCAGGCACTTGGTCTGCTCCAGGTAGGTGATTCCCGCGATCGCCAGCTTCGCGTAGAGATCACGCATCTTGTCCAGGATGGGTTGCACCGGCTCTCCCTCGCTTAGGCGCAACGCGGACAGCTCCCTCTCCATCATGAGCGTCGCAGTGCAGAGGTAGGGGCGTGCAGCTCCTTCAACACCGTCCACGCCTTCGGACCGCACTCAACCTCCGGCAGCAGGTGCATGACGTGGTGACGCTGGTTCAGCTCCAAACTCTGCGACATCAAGTAGTAGCCAGCCGAGGCGCGCTCGTCCCAATCTTCCTGAAGGGCGGGGTCACTCAGTCTAGGCTCCTCCCCAATCATTAGTTTCAACAATCCGATCTGACGGAAATAAAGTTGCATTTTCTAGGCCCAATCATCATAGCCCTTACCATTGAACTTCTCGACGGTGAAGTTTTTCAGCACCTCCTTGATCAGCGAGCTCTGGCTTGTTCGCGCTCCCCTTGGCGCAGAAACACCAGAATCATGGCTGCCGCTACGATCTTGGGCTGAAGATTCACCAGCTACCGCCGAAGTGTTCCCCGCCATAGCTACGTATAACGTGTTGGGTGCAAATTCACATTGCACGACATCCTGCCGTCTGTTTGTACGAGTATGCGTGTGCGAATGCATTTGCGTGTGAATGGTATGTTCGTGTGTTTGTTTGCTTTCGCAATTTTCGCTTGAAGCATTTGCAGGTACTCGCACAATGTGCGCTTCAGCATAACATTGTACGCGCTATGAACAGTACAAGCAGAAAGGACGAGCTCGCAAAGGATTCCAAGATGGAAGCTTTGTGGTTCGGCTTACTTGATTGCGCAGAGTCAGTTCTATCCAACTCGAAATTGTACTGTTTTGTTTGGTTGACTATAGTGTAGCAGGGCAGGCACTATAGGGGTACAATTTAGGTGAAGGTTGGATGTTGTTTGTCTGTATCTGCATGCTACAGGGCCAGGGGAAACCAGCGGAACCAGCATTTGGCTGGTTGGGCAAAGACAAAACAGGTTCTGTTTTTAGGACCTGAACCTGGTTGTTGTTTTACCAGGTTGGAAAAACAGAACCAGAGGTTGTTCACCAACCTACCACCTGCTATTTTGTCCAGCCAGGTTGGTTCTGTTGCTTGGAATTATTTGGGATCATCCCTGGTTGTTCCCAGGTTGATTCCCAAGGTCCTTGCTAGCTAGAGCTATTAATTCCTTCTCTGTTTGTACCTGAATATAGTGAAGTTGACTCAAGCGAATTTCTTCCTTGCTGGAATTTCTTTTCTACGCGGTGCGACGGCGGAATGCTACCCGAGTCAACGCTAGTACGCCAGCACTCCAACGCTAGACTAACGCTGTCCGAGCCATAACTTCGTAATGGCAGAACTTTTCGCAAGGCAACTTGGCTTATTTTAAAGCTCTTAGAGTGAGCTTCGATATAGTAAATTCTCAGCTTAATCGGATCAACGGTCTGCACGATACGCTGCGCGACGTTCAAGGTACTCTTGCTGTTTTGACTAAGTCCCTCTTGATCCCTCTCTCTACAAACTCGGACCCGAGGATAGGGGCTGGTCTCGTACCAGGCACCCAAGGACCCTTGGAGGTGACCCCGAGGAGAGGTTTTAAGTTTGATTAAGTCTTAATAACTTGAGTTTATTAGGCCCTTACACCAACACCATATTGGAGAACAGGGGAAGCAGGGGGAGCAAGAAGACGCCTCTGCCAAGGTTGGAGCAGAGCAGCAACCCCTGGATTATTGGGTGTTGGACACGGGCGCTGCTTGGACGATGACGCCGCGCAAAGACCTGCTGGACCACGTACACGCTGCACCGATCAACGAGGTGTGCTACGCCTCTGGACGAGGTGGCTGGTGCGGGACGAGCTGCGTTTAAGGGAGCGGATGGCAAGCCGGTGGTGCTGCACGACGTTTTCTCGTTCCTGAACTCAAGGCCAACCTCATCTCCCTCCGTAAGCTTGGCAAGGCTCGGGCACGCACTTACAAGTGGCAGCTGGGCAATCGGGTGCTTTGGGATCTGCATGACAGCACGGAAGTGTACAGATCCATGTGGCAGCTGCCGGCAATGGCGTGGCATGGTGGGGGGCAGGCTGGAGAGGGGTCTGCATCCCAGAGGGAGTGCAATGCCGTTGGAGGGGTTGGTGTGAAAGTGTCGGCCAGATCTGGGGAGACGAATTGGGCAACGGCACACCAACGCTTGGGGCATCTGGCAATGCACTTGTTGAAGCAGTTGGAGAAAGATGGAGCCGTTAAGGGTCTGAAGCTGAACAGACAGCCACCTGATGAGAATTGTGAAATCTGTTTGCTCTCAAAGTTTACCCATTTCCCCTTTCATAGTATGGCTGGCAGGAGCAAGAAGCCGTTGGAGCTGGTCCACATGGACTTGGTGGGGCCGCTGCCGGTTCAGGGACACAACGGGGAGCGGTACTTTCTGACCATAGTGGATGATTGGAGCAGGCTTATGTGGGCATATCCGCTGAAGCAGAAGGACCATTCCGCCTTTATGATACGGGAAGATTGGCTTCCATTCGTGGAGAAGCAAGCGGAGTGTGTGGTGAAGCGGATTAGGACAGATCGGGGCGGTGAGTTCCTTGGAGATGAGATGACGGCCTGGCACAAGAAGCACGGCATCCAAAGGGAGCTGACCACGGCTTACACCCCACAGTCTAACGGTGTAGCAGAACGAGCGAACCGGACAATTCTGGAGACAGCTAGGGCGCTGCTCATAGAATCTGGGCTGGGCAACTTGATGTGGCCCCATGCTGTTCGGCACGCTACCGTCGCTAGGAACAGGGTACTTACCAAGGTTGGGGATGACTTGTGGGTGCCGTTGGAGAGGTGGCTTGGGAGGAAGCCACCGGTGGACATGCTGAGTGTGTTCGGTTGCAAGGCAGTCGCCCACGTCCCCAAGACCTACCGCAGTAAGTTGGGGGCAAGTGCAATCTGGTGTGTGCATTTGGGGATGGCTGTTGTACAATTTCGAGTTGGATAGAACTGAATCTCCGCAATCAAGTAAGCCGAACCACAAAGCTTCCATCTTGGGTTCCTTTGCGAGCTTGTCCTTTCTGCTTATACTGTTCATAGCGCATACAATGTTATGCTGAAGCGCACATTGTGCGAGTACCTGCAAATGCTTCAAGCGAAAATTGCGAAAGCAAACAAACACACGAACATACCATTCACACGCAAATGCATTCGCACACGCATACTCGTACAAACAGATGGCAGGATGTCGTGCAATGTGAATTTGCACCCAACACACTCCCCCTCAGCCTGCCGGCTGCATCCCCATCATTCCATACTAGTTCATGCTCATTCCACTCATGCGCACACAACGCCAATGAGGCTCATCTGCAAGCCTCTTGGTGAGGAAGTCTGCTGGCTGCTGGTGGGTCTTGATGTAGATCGGATTCACCGTCCCCCTCTTCACCTCCTTACGCAGCCAGTGCCACTTGATACGCATGTGCTTATTGAGCCCATGAAGCACAGCGTTCCTGGCCATCCCAAGAGCTCCCTTGCTATCACAAAACAGCGGCGTAGCAACCTTTTGCTCCTGGCCAATCTCCTCCAACAGCCTCCTCAGCCAAATCACCTCCTTCACCCCATGAAACATTGCCATGTACTCTGACTCCACGGAAGAGAGTGCTGTCTCCGTCTGCTTCTTTGACCTCCAACTAACCGGTCCTCCCCCAACTACGCAGATGTATCCTCCCACAAATGAGGAATCCTCTTTCTCAGAGGCTCACGTAGCATCGGTAAAGCAAGTGAGAAAGAGCTTGCCTTCTCCAAGCCTCTCCCCCTTCTCTTTCAGCACCTCAAACCCCTTTCTGCTTCACCTGTGCAGATGCGGAGTATTGAACTCCAATGCTTGGGTGAGAGTTCAGATACTGTTGGGTGCAAATTCACATTGCACGACATCCTGCCGTCTGATTGTACGAGTATGCGTGTGCGAATGCATTTGCGTGTGAATGGTATGTTCGTGTGTTTGTTTGCTTTCGGAATTTTCGCTTGAAGCATTTGCAGGTACTCGCACAATGTGCGCTTCGGCATAACATTGTACGCGCTATGAACAGTACAAGCAGAAAGGACGAGCTCGCAAAGGAACCCAAGATGGAAGCTTTGTGGTTCGGCTTACTTGATTGCGCAGATTCAGTTCTATCCAACTCGAAATTGTACTGTTTTGTTTGGTTCACTATAGTGTAGCAAGGCAGGCACTATAGGGGTACAATTTAGGTGAAGGTTGGATGTTGTTTGTCTGTATCTGCATGCTACAGGGCCAGGGGAAACCAGCGGAACCAGCATTTGGCTGGTTGGGCAAAGACAAAGCAGGTTCTGTTTTGAGGACCTGAACCTGGTTGTTGTTTTCCCAGGTTGGAAAAACAGAACCAGAGGTTGTTCACCAACCTACCACCTGCTATTTTGTCCAGCCAGGTTGGTTCTGTTGCTTGGAATTATTTGGGATGATCCCTGGTTGTTCTCAGGTTCATTCCCAAGGTCCTTGCTAGCTAGAACTATTTATTCCTTCTCTGTTTGTACCTGGATATAGTCAAATTGATTCAAGCGAATTCCTTCCTTGCTGGAATTTCGTTTCTACGCGATGCGACGGCGGAATGCTACCCGAGTCAACGCTAGTATGCTAGCACTCCAACGCTAGGCTAACGCTGTCCGAGCCATAACTTCGTAATGGCAGAACTTTTCGCGAGGCAACTTGGCTTATTTTAAAGCTCTTAGAGTAAGCTTCGATATAGCAAATTCTCAGCTTAATCCGGTCAACGGTCTGCACGATACGCTGCGCGACGTTCAAGGTACTCTTGCAGTTTTGACTAGGTCCCTCTTGATCCCTCTCTCTACAAACTCGGACCCGAGGATAGGGGCTGGTCTTGTACCAGGCACCCAAGGAGAGGTTTTAAGTTTGATAAAGTCTTAATAGCTTGAGTTTATTAGGCCCTTACACCAACAAGCTGGTATCAGAGCTGCGTTATAGTGATCCTCGTTATAGGTAGCTATGGCGGGCAACACCTCGGCGGTAGCTGGTGAATCTTCAGCCCAAGATCGTAGCGGCAGCCAAGATTCTGGTGTTTCTGCGCCAAGGGGAGCGCGAACAAGCCAAGGCTC